AGTGGTTACGAATCGGGCTGCGAATCTTAAGGTCAGCAGTTCGAAACTACCAGCTGCTCCGCGGGAGAAAGATGAGGCTTTCTACTCCCGTAAGGATTTACACCCTCGGAAACCCTGTACAGGGTCGCTATGGGTCGGAACCGACTCGAAGGCACTTAACAACAACAACAACAAGGGAGAAGAGAAATATAACATATAAAGGCAAGCAAATAAGATTAAGCTCTAACTATTCAGAACAAACCATGCAGGCAAGAAGGCAATGGGGAGACATATACAAAGCTATGCAAAAAAAACTGTCAACCAAGAATAGTTTTTCCAGCAAAACTATCAATCAAATATGATGGTTTGATCAAAACATTCCAGGATAAACAGAATTTGAGAGATTTTATCAAAACCAACGCAGCACTTGAAAACATCCTAAAGGGAGTTCTGTGGACAGAGAACCAACAAGAACAGACAACAAACAGAGATTGACAAGTATGGCAACACCACCTGGAACACAGCCAACACATAGCGGAGTCCAGAACAGAACGAGACTACAATGACAGAATCAAAAGAAAGGGGAGATCACCTGAAGGCCAAAAACATCTCAATGTCAAAGAAGGGACAAACGCAGCAATGGAAGCCCAGGTGGTCTAGGAGCGGAGGACCCTAGGACCATCAATGGAGAAAAGCAGAGAGCGGGATCCTACCCAGAGAAGCAGTGAGGCCTGAGATGGAGGCAGAGAAGACGACGTCAAGAGATGATGTGGCTGGGGACTTGGGATCAGGAGATGGAAAGGTGCTGAGGACTGTGGTGGGGAGTGCAGGCTTACAGGGTACACCCTTTGGTTGGGTGAGGATGCATGGACGGGATGGTAACTATGCCAATGAAATGATAGATGATAGAATGAATATAAAACTAATGTTCTCCCATGTAGACTATCACACAATTCACAATAAAACATTTAAAAAAAAAAAAAAATTCAAGCCGGATTCAGAAGAGAACGTGGAAAGGGAGATATTATTGCTGATGCCAGATGAATTTGGATGAAAGCAGAGAATACCAGAAAGATGTTTACTTGTGCTTTATTGACTATTCATAGGCTTTCAACTGTGAAGAGTGGGTATTCCAGAACACTTAATCTTGCTCATGAGGAACCTGTCCATAGATTAAGAGGAAGTTGTTCGAACAGAACAGGGGCTACTGAGTGGTTTAAAATCAGGAATGGTGTGTGTTAGGGTTGTATTCTTTCACCATACTTATTCAATCTGTACGTTGAGCAAAAAATCCAAGAAGCTGGATTATATGAAGAAGATGTGGCATCAGAATTAGAGGAAAACTCATTAACAATTTACACTATGCAGATGACACAACCTGGCTTGCTGTAAGCAAAGAAGACATGAAATATTCAGTGAATGGCACAAGCTTGCTTTCTGTCCACAAAGACGACTTGAAATACTAATGTAAATCAAAGACTATATAGCCTTCAGTATGGATGGCACCTCAATGTAAAGAAAATGAAAATCCTCACAACTGGACCAATGAATAATATAAATGGAGAAAAGACTGAAGTTGTCATTGACTCAGTTTGTTTGGATCTACAATTAATGCTCATGGAAGCAGCAGTCAAAAAAGCAAACCGCATATTACATTAGACAAATCTGCTGTAAAAGACCTCTTTAGACTGTTCAAGAGCAAAGATGTCAGTTTGAGGACTAAGGTACACTTGATCCAAGCCATGGTATTTTCAATCACCTAATATATACTACTCCATGGTACTTAACAACAACAATATATATGTGAGAATTGGACAGTGAATAAATAAGACCATAGAATAATGAATGTATCTGAATTATGGTGTTAGCAAAGAATATTGAAAGAGCCATGAACTGCCAGAAGAACAAACAAATCTGTCTTGGAAGAAGTACAGCCAGAATGTACCTTAGAAGCCAGGATAATGAGACTTTATATCTTATACTTTGGACATATTCTCAGGAGGAACCAGTACCTAGAAAAAGACATTATGCTTGAAAAAGTGGAGGGCCAGCCAAAAAGAGGAAGGCACCCCACTCTCCCCCACCCAAGATGGATTGACACAGTGGCAGCAACAATGGACTTAGACATAACAATTGTGAAGATGGCACAGGACTAGACAGTGTTTTGTTCTGTTGTGCATAGGGATGCTGTGAGTCAGAACCAGCTCAACAGCACTTCACAACCACAATGTCCATCAGCAGGTGAATGGATAAACAAAATACAGTACCTGCATACAGTGGAATATTAGTCAAAACATAATCATGAGTCTTCGAAACATAACCTGGATGAATCTAGAGGACATCATGCTGACTGAAATGATCCAATCACAAAACAACAAAACCTGTATGACTGCATTTTTATAAGAAGAAAAGCATACATAGAAACTAATACCTATTGGGGTGCTTACCAGAGATGGTGGGGCAGGATATGGTTGTTTTTGGTAATGCTGAATGTGGGTGAAATGTGTACAGCTTGACCAAGGAAATGGTGCCACTCGTAAGTACACAAGAAGAAAGGATATTTTCGATAAATGCTATAACATACACGGTTTTATAACAATAGCAACCAAAAAATGTGTGCATTATTTAGATATCCGCACATAGATGTGTGCAGGTAGGTATGTGGGTGTACATGTATATGCATATATAGATGTATCTGTGTACAGATACATATACATGTATGTGTGTACATGCACTTATATTCATATAATAAAGCACATATGGGATACAGTTAGGAATACTTCTTTGTCTTAAACACCTCTCAGGAGAGGTGTCATTGATTTGAAGGCTTAGGACCATAGTCTCGTAGTACAATGTGGTCAGTTGTCTCCTAATACAGTCTGTGTTCTGTGTTCGAGTTTGATGAGTAGTGTCTGGGACTTTAAAAGCTTGAAAGCAACCATCTAAAATGCAATTGTTAGTCTCTTCTTGTCTGGACAAAAGGGAAAACCAAAGTCTGAGAGAGAAAGCCAGTGTACTCATTTGTCCTGAGACCAGAAGAGCTAGGTGTGCCTGGTGGCCGCTAGCAACCATTCTTATCAGGGCCACAGTGAATGGATTTTGATAGAATGAAGGTAAATGTAGACATAAAATGTCCAGATTAACTGTGGGACTGGCAGAGCCATCTAAAATTATCGTCCCGAGATACTCTGTAAAGTTTAAGCCCAAATACTCCCCGAGGTCACCTTTCAAATTTGTCTGGGTTCTCTAGAGGGGCAAAAAGAGTGACGCTTTTATCAAGTCAATTCCGACTCATAGTGACCCTACAGGACAGAACTGGTCCCTAGGGTTTCCAAAACGAAATCTCTGAGGGAGCAGACAGTGTCATCTTTTTTCCTAAGGAACAACTGGTAGGATTGAACTGCTGATTTTGTGTTTAATGGCCCAGTGCTTAGCTTTCGGTACCACCAGAGTTCCTATAAATAAATATGTTGTTGTTGTTAAGTACCACTGAGTCAGTTCTGACTCATAGCGACTCTATAGGGTTTCCAAGGAGCAGCTAGTGGGCTTGAACTGTAGACCTTGTGGCTCACAGTCCAGTACTGATCCTGCAACACCACACCACAAGTCCATAAATATATAGAGAGATTTATTTCAAGGAAATGGTGTGCACACTTATGCAGGCTGGCAAGTCCCAAATCTGTGGGCCAGACAGAAGATTGGAGGCTTCTCCTGACCCAGGTTTGCAGCTGCTGCTGAATGCAACCTGCAGGTCTGGCAGAAGGCTGAAGGTTTCTTAAGGCTCAAGAAGCAGAGGCCAGAGGATGGCAAGAGTGTGAGAGAGCCAGCTTTGTCAGAATATTGGTTGACAGTTGGCCCTTGAACACCTTGGGGTTGAAGTACAAGGCTCTTGTTTCCTGTCACTGCCCCCATGGTGCTGTGATGGTACTGCTCACACAGAGATAGTATCACACAGTATTTTCAGCAGATTCTCATAGCACAAGCTCACTGCAGTAGCAACAGACAGAACATAGCAATGCCTGGCAACACTTTGTGCTCACTTACCTTGCTGCTGCTTCAGGGAGTTGACTGACTATCCTACAGACCAAATTAACAGTGGAGAGACCTTCTGAATAGTTTCTCCTCTCAGGAGACACTGACTAAGCTTGGTCCAAACATGACTTACTGAGGATAAGCAGATGAAAAGGCCTGCCCTCAGAACTCAGTAGTCTGGGGGTGGTAACAGCCTTGTAAAGAAAGAATTATAACATCACATGCTAAGCGCTGTTGTTCCTCTGAGACTTGAGGTAAGCCACCTCTGGCCTTCCCTTAAAAAGTCCTTGGGTGGCTCCACCAATTAAGTACCTGAATACTAACTAACCAAAACGCAGACAGTTGGAATATACCCAAAGATACCTTTAAAGCCTGACCGTCTGCTTCTGAAGTTGACCACTGTTGGAAACCTTATGGAGAACAGGGTTCCTGAGTCACAAGCAACTCAACAGAAACTGCTTTACTGGGCCGGCCCTGGTGTTCCTCATGCTGCCTCTGCTTCCTGACCTGAAGTCAGTGTGTATTCCTCATGGAAAGCAGTCAACATGAGGCCCTGCTGGGGGATTCCTTGGCCATTTCTTCCATTGTTCCATTTCTTAGTAATGTTTGAGAGAGAAAAGTCAAGTGGTTTTCTACTTTGGCATAGTATAGCCAATTCATTTACTTCATAGACTTTATTAATAAACTATTTCATATACTTTATCAGATGTAGCAAAGTTGCTTAGGGAAAGTAGATTGAAGTAAATGCAGTCCTGTCTAGTTTAGCGGTGAGCTAAATTGAGTCTGAGGCATGAGTGTGGTCCTCTGGTGTCTGCAAACTGGAGACCAGCTTCCAGTTAATTCGCATTTCTGTTTTGAAGAGTCTTGCTTTACATACAGGATGCCACTTTGAGGAAATTCACTGTGCTTGCCTTTATGAGAACCTTCCACTCTGCTCTCCTATCAGTACGATTTAATTTAAATCAAATATCTCTGTGCTTTCTCCTCAGTGCTGGGGAGGCAACCTACAGTCTAGAACATGCCAATGACCTTCGAGTGGACGTGCAGAAAGTGTATGAATTGATTGACACTTTAAGGTATGGCGCGTCTTATCTGCTGGTTTATGTGGAGAAAGTGCCATGTTTTAATGAAGTGGTGGATGGTTCACAGTGTCCTGGGAACAGTGGAAATGTGTGAGGGGGAGGCTGAGGAAGGTTGATATATCAAATACCATGGCTCAGCTCTGCCATTTCATACATCATAATCACTTGTGGTTAAGGATTTCTAATATTTGGTACTGTCAAAGGAATGTTGTTGTTGTTAAGTGCCATCAAGCTGGTTCTAACTCATAGTGACCCTGTAAGGGTTTCCATAGCTGTAAGTCTTTATAGGAGCAGAAAGCCTCGTCTTACTCTCGTGGAGCTGCTGGTTGGCTTGAACCGCCAACCTTGTGCTCCGCAGTCTAGTACTCAGCCTATGGAGCCACCATGCTCCTCTTTAAAGGAGTAAGAGCTATGTATTGACATCTACTATGTGCCCATCACTGGGTATTTCCATTCGGTCACAAAGTACTCTGGGATAAATGGCATCAACATCCCCATTTTATAGGTGACAGAGAGCACCATAGCTAGCAAAAGTATTGACATCAGGATAGAAAACCCAAGTTCTAGTCTGTGACCTTTCCTCAAGACGCCATGACAGCAGAGCATTAAACCAAGTATAAGCCCTTCTAGCATAGTGGTTACGAGTCAGGCTGCCAACCGCAAGATCAGCAGTTTGAAACTTCCAGCAGTTCCGTGGGATAAAGATGAGGCTGTCTGCTCCCTTAAAGATTTATAATAAGCCTTGGAAACGCTGTACAGTGTCAATCGAGTTGGAACCAACTCCATGGTACTTAACAACCACAACAACAAGCCCTTCTAACTACTGGACCCTCTGCAATTGCATAGGCTACACGTCCACAAAACCGACCCTGCCTACATGGTCCGTTCCTGCTGACCCAGTATTTGTCATGCCCCCCTGTGCTGTGTTAGGGCTTTGTCCTCAAGGACAAAGTCATGACTCCATCTTCTCCGTAAGTCTTCCCAGTTCCCCGTAAAAGCTTGCCACCTCCAGTGACTGTTGATCATCATTCTTCAGTGTTACATAGTGTCCCATTGTGTTGATGGGCATTTAAGCTCTCTCCATCTTTTCTACTGTGAATACTGCTCAGTGAACATGGATGTGTCTTTTTGTGTCATGGCTCTTATTTCTTGAGAATATGTCCCAAGTAGAGAGATTGCCGAGTCATACAGTATTTCTGAGAAGTCTTCTGACTTTCCTCCTTCCAAGACAGATTTGTTTTCTAGCAGTCCATGGTACTTTCAGTATTCTTTGCTAACACTACAATTCAGCGGTATTAATTCTCTGATTGTCCTTATTCACTGTCCAGCTTACACTCACACGAAGCAACTGAAGATACCATGGCTCAGGTCTGGAGCACCTTGGTCCTCAGAGTGACAGCTTTGCTCTTTAACGCTTTACAGAGATCTTTTGCAGCAGATTTTCCTAGTGCAGTCCATCATTTGATTTGTGACTGCTGTTTCCATGAGCACTGATTGTGGATCTAAGTAAAATGAAATCCTTGACAACTTCAGTCTTTTCTGAGATTGTTTATTGATCCAGTTGTGAGGATTTTTGCTTTTTTTTTTACATTGAGGCGAAATTCATACTGAAGGCTGTATTCTTTGATCTTCATCAGCAAGTTCTTCAAGTCGTCTTTATTTTCAGCAAGCAATATTATATCATCTGCAGATTGCAGGTTGTTAATGAGCCTTCTCCCAAGCCTAATGCTGCATTCTTCTTCATATAGTTTACCTTCTCAGATTATTTGCTTAGCAGACAAAAGGAATCAGACACCTTTACTGATTTTAAACCCTTGTTCTGTTCAAACAATTGCCTCTTGTTCTCTGTACAGGTTCCACATGAGCACAGATGACTGTTCTGGAATTTCCATTCTTCACAATGTATCCAAACTGTTAAAAGTCACACAGTCAAATGCCTTTGCATAGTCAATAAAACACAAGTAGACATCTTTTTGGTATTCTCTGCCTTCAGCCAAGATCCATCTGATGTCAGCCATGATATCCCTCATTCCACATCCTCTTCTGAATCTATCCTGAATATCTGGCAGCTCTTCCCCATCAGTGTGCTGCTCATATTGTCCATTCTTGAGATTCCTTCTGCAGAATTGTACATGCGAGTGATATTGTCCTATCATTTTTGCATTGTGTAACACCACCTTTCTTTGGAATGGGTACAAATATGGATCTCTTCCAGTTGGTTGACCAGGTAGCTGTCTTCCAAATTTCTTGGCATAGGCTGGTGAGTGCTTCCAATGCTGCATCAGTTTGTTGAAACATTTCATTTGGTATTCTGTCGATTCCTGGAGGCTTGTTTTTTACTAATGCCTTCAGTGCTGTTTCTTCCTCCAGTACCATCGGTTCTTGATCATTTGCTGCCTCCTGAAATGACTGAATGTTGGCCAATTATTTTGGGTACAGTGACTGTTTGTATTCCTTCCATCTTCTTTTGATGCATCATTCAATATATTTCCCAAAGAATCTTTCAGTGGTGCACTTCAAGGCTTAAATTGTTTCTTCAGTTCTCTCGGCTTGAGAAATGCTGAACATATTCTTCCCTTTGGTTTTCTAACCTCAGATCTTTGTATATTTTGTTATAATACTTTACTTTTTCTTATCAAGCCGTCCTTTGGAATTTTCTGTTCAACTCTTTATCATTTCTTCCATCCACTTTACCTACACTAAATTTAAGAGCAAGTTTCACAGACTCTTTTGACACCCATTTTGGCCTTTTCTTTGTTTCCTGTCTTTTAATGACCTTTTTTTTTTGCTTTCTTCATGTATGATGTTCTTGATGTCATTCCACAACTCCTCTGGTCTTCTGTCATTAGTGTCTAATGTATCAAATCTATTCTTGGATGGTCTCTAAGTTCAGGTGGGATATACTCAAGGTTGTAGTTTGACTCTTTGGGGTTTTGTTTTGTTTTTTTAATTTCTTCAGCTTTGGCCTGAACTTACATATGAGCAATTGACGATCTGTTCCACAATCAGCTCCTGGCCTTGTTTTACCTGATGATAGTGAGTTTTGCCATTATTTCTTCCCATAGATGTAATCAATTTGATGAGATCCACATGTGTAGTCACCATTTGTGTTGTTGAAAAAAGGTATTTGTAGGGGAAAAGTCATTGGTCTTGCAGAGTTCTGTCATGTGATGCCCAGCATCATTTCCATCATCAAGGCCATATTTTCCAGCAACTGATCATTCCTCTCTGCCTCCAACTGCATTCCAATTACCAGTAGTGATCAATGCATTCTGACTGCATGTTTGTTCCGTTTCAGACTAAGAAGTTGGTAGAATTCTTGAATTTCTTTTCATTGGCTTTGGTGGTTGGTGTGTAAACATGAATACTTATTGTATTAATTGGTCTCCCTTGTAGGAGATAGATATCATCTAATCACAGACGCATTGTACTTCAAGGTACATCTTGGAATATTCTTTCTGATGTTGAATGGGACATCATTCCTCTTGAATTTGTCACATCTGGCGGAGTAAACCATATGGTTGCCCAGTTTCAAATGGCCAATACCTGTCCATTTCAGCTCGCTAATGCCTAGGATATTGAACTTCATGCATTCCATTTCATTTCTGAGGACTTCCATTTTTCCTGGATTTATTCTTTGTACATTCCATGTCCTTATAATTAATGGGTTTGCACCTATTTCTTCTCATTTTGACTTGTGCTCCATCAGTAAATGAATGTACCGAAAGCTTTGCTCCATCCACGTCATTAACATCGACACTACTTGAAGGAGGCAGCTCTCCCTCACTTATATTTTGAGTGCCTTCCACCCTGAGGGTCTCCTCTTCCAGCACTGTATCTGACAGTGCTCTGCTGCTATTCATAAGGTTTTCAGGGGCTAATCTCAGAAATGAATTCCTTCTTCCTAGTCTATTCTTAGTCTGGAAGCTCCATGAAACCTGTATACCATGGGTGACCCTGCTGGTATTTGAAACATCAGTGACCTAGCTTCCAGCATCACAGCCACATTCATAGGATCCGGAAGCTGAAAGTACCCATTATATTGATGTGTTTGTTTCAATTTAGTAAGAAGATCTTAACCTTAGGCTCGAACCAGGACCCTCCACCACATCCAAACACTTTGCGGCTGCAGCGGATGGTCAGATACTCGGCTACACTTTTTGTACAGGTAAGCCCTCCTATGGTGCCGTAAATGTTGCACCTGGTACATTCCACGCCTCTGCCTCTCAGAAAGCCTCATTCGTGCCAATGTTTATTTGCTTATTATTATTCAAAATTATCAATGCATTATGCCACATTTAGGAAAAATGTGGATTTCAGAGAAAAGTACTCTGAATCTGAAAAGTACTACTTTTAATCTTGTATCTCCTGCACAGCCACTCATCATTCTGGTGTATTGTCTTCATTTTCTTCTGCGTGCATTTTTTATATAAATTAGTGGCAGTTACTACATGTTTGCAAATTCGTGTCTCCTCTTGGTTTCTGTAAGTTTCATATGATGATCACTCTTGCTTGAATGACTGGGACACTGTGCTTAGATGCTTGCTGTCCCCTATCTGGTCATCCCCTTTTGTTGGGCATTTGACAGATTGTGATTTCACAGTGATAAACGTTGCCACGCTGGGCACACTCGGATATAGCACTTCTTCTTAGGGACAAGCTCCTGAAGGGCTCTCCCTGGGACATTAGTTAGGAGGAGGGAGAGGCTGGTGAAACCTAGGTGGTTAGCTCCAAGTTGTATCTTTCTACCTCGGAAAGCCCCTTGTGAGAACACCATGGGTAACACTTCTAGGGATCTTCTGGCCAGGGAGTTGTAATAGATCGAGTCCTACTGCAGTAGCTTCCTAACATGTAGAGCAGAGAGTGAGCCCTGTACTCCTTCCAGTTAATGATTATACTCAGTCATCATTTCCTGAGTGCCTGCTGTGTGCCAGGCAATGTTCTAGGTGCTGGGTGTTCTGTAGGGAAGGAAAGAGACATTTCTGTTCTTGTAAAACTTACATTCTATCAAGGAATAGACAGGAAACAACTAAAATATGCAGCATGTGAGACAAGTGTTGGTGGCGAATGCAGGCAGTAGGAAGGGCTGAGGGGGAGGTTTACAGGTGGACAGCGTGGGAAGGACCTCATTGAGAAGGTGACACCTGCACCCGGTGACCAGCTGGGCTGTCGGATACTGAGCATTCCTTGAGGAGACGGTGGAAGGATGTGGAGGTTGACTCTGACTTAATGTTGAGCTCTTGCTGCTGCCCTGCTGTTCTCAGTGCTATTCTCCAAGGGGGTCTTAGCTTATCTGACACAGACTCTTCATAGGGCTTGTGGTGGATTATCCCCCGAAAAAGGGCCTCAGGGTAAAATTTTCTGTGACTCCCTCCAGGAAAAGTTGCTTGGCTTGATGTCACTGCCGACCAAAGAACAATTTGAGGAACTGAAAAAGAAAAGGAAGCAGGAGCTGGAGAGGAAGAGGCTCCTGGAGAGACAGGTGAGTGAGGTGACCCCAGCTCTGGCTTCCTCCTTGGGCTCAGGCCTCCTCAGGTCCTACAGGGGTCCATGAGGGTGCAGGGACGTAGAGCTTCTTGCACTGATTACTTGGGATTTCTCATCTGTCCTGGCCTCACTCTGGTCTGCAGGAGCCAGAATACATGTTTATTATTCTTTTAGAAGTTCTACTGATTTTCTCCTGTCCAAAATCCCAAAGAGATTGGCACTTCTCACTCTGATACAGGGTGTAAAGGATGCAAGACTCAACAGGAGAGACTTATGCACATTGACTATGGGCGATACTCGAGGGCTGATGAGTGGTGATAGAGACCCCAGAGGGGTGAGAAAAGTCATTGACCATTGAATCTCATTCTTTAGCTTGTTGTTGTTGTGATGTGCCGTGCAGTCGGTTCCAACTCATAGTGACCCCGTACAGGGTTTCTGAGGCTGTAAATCTTTATGGGAGCAGAAAACCTCATCTTTCTCCCGCGGAGCAGCTGGTAGTTTCGAACTGTTGACCCTGAGGTTAGCTGGCAGATTCGTAACCACTATGTTAGCAGAGCTCTTTATTCTTTAGCTTACTGGGTTTTATTTTTGAAAATCGTAGTCTGCCACTTCCCCTGCCCTCCAGAAAAGGGCATGATTTGGTTGTAACGGCTGCTTGTTTGTCCTGAGGTGGAATGTGGGTATCTTGCTGCCATGGGACAGAAGAGGCTCGGAGGATAGCACGTGCTCTTGGCCTGTGACTGTGTTTTTTCTCCCCAGGCCACCCTGGAGTCCCAGCGAAGGCTGGAGGAGAGGCCGAGTGGCCTGGGGTCTCGAACAACCAACGGGGAGGTGGCATGTCTTTCCACTGGCCCTGCCCCTTTGCGGAAGGCTGAGGGCTGGCTCCCGTTGTCGGGAAGGCAGGGCCAAAGTGAAGACTCAGACCCCCTGCTCCAGCAGATCCACAACATCACATCATTTCTCAGTCAGGCCAAGGCCGCTGGCCGCACAGACGAAATGCGAATGCTGCAGGAGAACCTGCGGCAACTGCAGGATGAGTATGACCAGCAGCAGACAGAGAAAGCCATCGAGCTGTCCCGGAGACAGGCCGAGGAGGAGGATCTGCAGCGGGAGCAGCTGCACATGCTACGGGAACGGGAGTGGGAGCGAGAAAAGGAGCAGTTTCAGGCGGCATCCCTGCACACACGGACGCAGTCCCTGGACTTCCGAGAAGTCAGGCCGTTTCAACTGGAACCTGGCAGAGAGCCTCGCTCCCACCTTGCTTATGCCCTGGACCTAGGTTCTCCCACAGCTCCCAAGACCCCTTCACCTAGCTCAGCAGGAGAGCCCATCAGAGGGTGGTCAGAGGCCCCAGCCCTCAGCCAGGAGTTCCTCTCCCAGAGCACTGTGTCACAGCAAAATGAGGTGCCTGCCCCAAACCCCTTTGATGAGGAAGATGTCTCCAGCCCCACAGAGGAGGGCTCTGGCAACCCTCCTGCTGTGGAGGCTCCCTTCAGACCCTCACCCTGGATCCAAAAGGAGTACAATCCTTTTGAGGAAGAGGAGGACGAGTCCATGCCAGGGAATCCCTTCGCTACCCCGGATGGCCCAGCGCCCAACCCCTTCGGTGAGGACGATGAACATTCACCCCAGAGGCCCTCGAGTCCTCCTGGTGTTGGCAACCCCTTTGAGGAGCCCGCCTGTACCAACCCCTTTGAGGTGGACAGTGACAGTGGGCCGGAGGCGGAAGAGCCCATAGAGGAGGAGCTGCTCCTCCAGCAGATCGATAACATCAAGGCGTACATCTTCGATGCCAAGCAGTGTGGCCGCCTGGATGAGGTGGGGGTACTGACGGAGAACCTGAGGGAGCTGAAACGCACGCTGGCCAAGCAGAAGGGGGGCACTGACTGACCAGGGGCTGGCGGAATTGATGGGGGAGAAGGAAGGCTCTCACAGATCAGGGCACGGTGTCTGCTGTTCTGTGCACTTGGGAGGTATTTTCACTACAGTTGAGTAATGGGAGCTAGAACAGGAAAAATCAGCATTCATGTGCTGTTTTTCCAGCGTTTTTGTTTTGTTTTTTATTTGGAGGTTTTCCCTTTACAGTTTTCAGAAGTGACTTTACAGTTTCCTGTCTTAAGCTAGAAATAACTGTGGCTCTGTTGGGCCCTGGCCTGGGCTAGAGATGGTTGTCATGCAGCTCCTGGGTCTGTTTGCTACTGCCTGGCCTTTGGTCACTTTCCTGCTTGTGCCAGGGAGGAGGAGGTGTGACGCAGAAAGGCCACGGGGAGCCCAGCAGCTGTGTTTAAGAGGGTGACAGAGATGCTGTTTCCACCAGGTCTCTTTCTCCCTCAGCACAAGTTCTTGTTTGTCTCTTCTGGGAAAGTAAGCAAGGCTGTGAGTCTGATGAAAAGCTTTTTAAACTGGAAAACAGGATTGGTTCCCTTTTTGGTTGATAGGACAAGTATCTGAGGGAACTGAGTAACTGAGGGAACAACCATCTCTCCCCTGAGACACCTCCCTCAGCGCTTTGATAGGTCACTCAGTCTGGGCTTCTTTAAAGGGCCCAGTCTATAATTTAGGGATTGGTGATTCCTAAAGTTAGGGGAGCTTTTGTAGGGTGTTGTCAAGAGGGGTGGAAGCTTTCCTGCATCAGAAGATGAAATGAGTTCCAGTCCCTCCTGTCCTGAGCTGGGAGACCACTGGGAGATTTTCTTACCAATGTTTAGTGTTAAGAAATGGAAATGTTTAAAGAGGCATAACCCAGAACAATTCCAGGTACTCTTCACCAATTAAGGGAAAAATGGGAAATTATTAATCCTTTCATAAGTGAATTACTTTTTGCTTTGAAGTTTTTGTGGATACCATGTTTTCAGTAATGGAAGCCATTCTGAAATCAAGAGAAAAGAACTTTTTTGCCGGAATCTGGATTTTGAAATAATTATGGTGTATACATAAGCCCCAAGAGGCCTCTGGTGATAGGACCGGTGGGGTTCAGGCCCATTTCTCCAGATCCGCACAGTTACACAGGTCCCTAGCAGGCAACAGCATGCACTGCAACTGGGACAGCAGCTTCCCAAGTAACCCACGAGGCTGAAAATGGTGGTGGTGATAGATGAGAGGCTAAGTCAAAAAGTATTGCTACAAAATCATAGAACCCTTATTAAACAAAATTATTCAACTATGAAGCTCTTCTTTCTCAAAATAGCCACCATCTAGGTCTATAGAACTCTGAGCTCTTTAAATGGCATCACGTCAAAACAGCAGTTTTGGCATCCATGAGGGACTTACATTGTTATCCTCTGGCATGTTCTCTGAGTTTAGGGCACAAGAAGTCAAAAGGGGCAAGTTGGATGGGGTAGGGTTTCCCAGTGAAATTGTCATCTCACGACCCTTGAAGGAGCAGGTGCATTGTGATAGAAAACAATTCCTCGGTGCAACTGTTTTGGCCTTTTTCTCACCAGTGCGGTTTTCAGTTTTCTTAAAGCTTCTTCATAATAAGCTCCTGTGATCATTTCTGTGTCTTCTAAGAAAATCTATCAATATGAACCCTCTGAAGCCCCCCAAAGCAGTCACTTTTGAGCTAACTTTTCTGCCTTGAGTTCATCTGGTCTTAGAAGCTAATGTCTCGATTAAACATTTTTGTTTTTAAAGACCCCCTGTACAGGGCCGATATGAGTCGGAACCGACTCCATGGCACACAACAAGAAGACAAGTGTACTGTGGAGAGAACTGGTCTGCAGCCATCCAATGATCGCAGACCATTTAAACACGTTTTCTTTGGAATACATCTGTGTATGTGTGAACTGGAACCCTAGTAGCAATACTTTTTGACTTACCCATGGGATCATGAAAGGGTTAAGTTAGTTCAAGCACTTTGGCTTTTAAGATCATCTCCCTTAACTAACCTTTGACATCCCGACAGCCAAGTGTGCTCCGCTCTGGGTAGAGTTCCTGCAGTCACACTTGTAGTTCATGTATAGTAACCAGCCCCTAGTCACTGTGTGTCCATAACTAACTGGAGCACACTCGCTCTGGTCACAGGTACAACCACTGTGATGAAGACTCCTGATGTTCTTGGTCCTGCCTGAAACCTCTTGGTGTAAAAACAGCCTGTGCTTGTGTTCACACCATTCGCCTTTCTTTAGTACCCACTGGATCTGCTGGCTGAGTGAAAGGTCCGGCGTTTGAGGGATTGAGTGGAGGACTTCTTTGCTTTTGGGTTTTGTTCACAAACAGGATGGGACTGGGTTACTAATGTCAGCCAGATGTCAACACTGCTGATTGCTCCTGGAAGTTAGCAGCCCAAGCTGCTTTGCGAGCCCATCCTTGGTGCTGTTACTTTGGAGCATTCATGTCTGGCTGGCACGGCCTCCTTCCTCTCTAAGCAAAGAGGAAGTGCTGTGCCTTGAAAAGCAGGGAGTTCCATCTTAATGATATTTCTTACAAGAGTAGGAATCCCTTAATTAGCGGTGATTTCAATTAACACTAATCCACTAAGTATGTTGTTGTTGTTAAGTACCGTCGAGTCAGCTCTGACTTATAGCAACCCTGTATAGGGTATCCAAGGAGCTGCTGGTGAGTTTTGAACCACCGACCTTGCGGTTCAAACCTACCTTGCGGTCTAGTGCTTTCTCCTACAGTACCACACCAGTATACCCCTTCCCTAATAAAATCAACTGCAGGTAGCACTCTGTAAATAAATATGAGCATTGAGAAATATAGATACAAGAAACATTTAAAAGATACACTTTTTGAAGGCTCACTGAATATACTAAAACTAACTAAAAGTCAAATCCCTCTGATTTGATTTAATTTTTCCATGGCTGTATTCTTCCATGGAGTAATCCATTTAATTCTTCCTTGGGTATAATTTTCTGTAAACATAGACACAACAGGAGTTAAAATTTTCTCCCCTTCAGCTGTACCATTTCCCAGGATTCGTAAGGCACAAAGTTGGGTACGGGCAAGTTGGCCTATGACTTGTAATCTCAACTTCAAGTTCTGACCGCATGTGAATATTTCACACTTCCCACAGTCCTGTAAAGACTAACAGCCCGTCTCATCAGCAAATGAGTTTTTGTTACGGCGTTGACAGTTCTTCCTAGACATCAACATATATGCAAGAAACTTTGAGGAGTCTTGCAGTAAATGAAGGGTTTTTCCCTCTTCATGCATTGTTTGTATTTTTCCCTGCCTAATACACTAAGAACTCAACATCTGTCTGTTGTTCACATACCAAAATGTACTTCTGAGTCATCATGGACCATGTGGTAGATTGGACGTTGGCATAATTAGGTGTTGGGACCCAACTCAAGAAGCTAGTCCCTTACCTGGACACTGATTGTGGTAGCAGATTGTACTGATCATCTGAAATGGCAGTTAGTTCGAGGCCTGTTAATTTGCATGCACTACTCGGGGGCTGTTTATTGGAATCTTTTTTAAAAATAAAATTACAGATGTTAGTGGTTGGACATGTGTGCACATGCATTATAAGTGAGCGTCACCTGATACTATATCTTCTCCTCTGTCTGAATAATGACCATCCCCTCTCTGCTTACAGCCTCTAGACAAAACCAAGGTCACTGGGTTCTCAGCCCGTTGCCACTGAATTGACTCCAACTCGTGGGGACCCCATGTGCTACAAGAGTAGAACTGCCCCGTAAGGTTTTCTTGGCTGCATCTGAATGAAATCATCTTGCCTCTCAGAGCTTTCTTCCAGTTGGGTTTGAATTGCAAACCTTACGGTTAGTCAAGTTCAAACCCTTTGTACCACCTGGAGACCTTTTAGGCTCTCACCGGGGAGGCTAAAGATGTGGGCTCCAATTCTGCCTTTGTCCTGACTTATTTCTGCGCCATAGATTAACTGCTGCACTGTGTTGCAGTCTCACGCATCAAGTACGTCCTGTAAGAAGCATTTAGTTACTCAGAGAAGAGGAACTGGTTAGGAGTAGTCTGACTGATTAAACCCCGGTCTGTCTGACTCATTTATCCTAAGTAGCAAGGAGATTTTGATCAGGGACAGTGGGGTTACTCAGGCATTGTGTTGGCACAAAGGTAGGGGCACAGGAGTGCTGCGGGGGAAAGAGCGTTGCTGCTGGATGGAACTCTAATACAGCCATCTCTTGGACCTTTGAAACACCTCCTCAGGACCTCTGTAGATTCCTAATAGGAAGGGACTAATAGAATTATTTAGTGCTCACTGTGCTCCAGACAGAATGCTAGGGATTATATAAGCACGGGTGTTCTCCTTGAATCCTCCCAACAACCACCATTTACAGCTGAGGAAATGAGTGTGCTGATGTTAAACTTTCTCAAGAGTTATACCACTGGGGTTCCAGCCCAGGTCTGTCCTCCTCAAAGCTCACACTGCATTAACCTGCCTTGTATGTGGACACTCATGTTTCTAACATGAACTGGAACGTTTCAGCCATAGTGCCTTGTGTGGGCTTTCCGATCAAAAACTCTTCTGCCTAGAACTACTTAAGGTAGTAGTAGTTATTAAGTGCTATTGAGTTTGTTCTGGTTCATAGCGACTCTGTATAGGTTTTCCAAGGAGCAGCTGGTGGGTTTGAACTGCCAACCTTACAATTAGTAGTCCAAAGCTTATCTTACAACTCCACACCTGTACTCCAAAACTTTAGTTATTGTTGTTATTGTCAGGTGCCATCGAGTCGGAACCGACATAGCGACCCCATGCACAGCAGAACGAAACAATGTCCAATCCTGGGCCAACCTCACTAC